TATCAAAAATAGGCACTTTTCATTCGACTGATATCAAAAACACCCTAGTGAACACACCCATATGCCAGAGCCCATAGTTGTGTATGCAGCATTGAATTTCACGCATTATTCAGAATTGAATGCATCAAACTTTAATGAATGTGCAATAATAACTTTTGAACTGCACTCAATTCTTATCAAAAGTACAATATGAAAAACCATATGTGTTCAGCTGATACGAAATGAGTTTCATGAAAATGGTCGATAAATCGAATCGAATTAGTCGATCACCTAGCAAAATTTCGATTGAAATTAAAAAGTCAATAATTTGAGCTTAAAATTGGCCGGTAAATTAAGAACAAACACCGAAATACGGTGTGTGTGTTTTTCGAACAATTAATCTGAATGCTAATAAAATCCGTCAACCAATTTAGATGACAAACAAAATTAAACTAACGAATGCTGCAATAAAATAAAAACCGTGTGTGTTTTTGTTTTGCATGTCAATCGATTGTGTTTCGTTTTGCTTTTGAACAATTGAATTGAGCAGAAAACGTACCAAAGTGAGTTAGTATTACAGTATATTGAATACATGCAATCGTCCTTCTCTCTCATTAAGAGCGATAATTGCACAACTGAAGCATGTTAACGAGCCAAAAGAAAAATTGGTCAAATTAAAGGTATTGATCGTCAAGTGAAAAGAGAACAGCATACGAAACATTCGTCAAATTGTTGTTTATATTTGATGGCATGTGGCAAACAAAGTCACGATATCCGATGATGCGAATGCGGAATATATCGACTTTTTCCCTATATTATTCTTTCTTGAATATGTTTTTTTTCTTGCCTTCCTTACAAAGTAGTCGCTACACATTTTTCTTGTACTAAAATAGATGCTGTAAAAAATAGATTGGAAACTAAAATTAAAATAAACAACAAGCGAGAAGTACACACAAGCATACGTAGAAACAGCAACCGATACAGAATCGGAATTGCGTGAATGAAATGCATGGATTCTGTCGCGCAATCTATGTACTACGGTTGTGAAAGAGATGCATAGACGGCGTTTACTGTCAGATTACATACATATTACATGTGTGACATGACGTGGACGCTCACACGTACACATAATATCATCCATCCAACTTAGCGACATACACACATTCAACTAATAGAATAATTCTACGGTTCTCGACCTGTCAACCTACCATGCATATGATGTTGTTGTTGTTGTTGCCATTTCAATTAAATTGTGTCAAAATTGTACAATTTTCATTGGATTCGATCGTTTACAGAATCGATTCAAATGTTGTTTCCCTTTAATCAAATGTACAGACAATGTCGTTCATTGAAGTCATTTGAACCGGTCACCGGTCATGTATTAGATAATCAGCTAGCGAGAGAGAGAGAGATCAAGAGACTGGCTCTTCGGTCAAACTAATACATAAACGATTGCGATGAACGAGTTTATCTCTTTAACGCTTGACTTTTCTTCCTTTCTTCTCTTTCATGATGGCTCTTCTTGTTCATCGGCTCTTTCACTTGCACATATTCGCTATTGGCGCCCGGTGCTTCATCGAAAGTTATGGAAAAATACAAGCACTGAGAAAAGAACAGACTAGAAAAAAAAATAAACAGCAAACATCTGTGTGAAACAACCCGTGACAGTTGTCGCTTCGCGTTCATTTTATACATATTTAGCACACCGTTGGTAAGACAGAGACACATGCACGCATACACATTCATACAGACATTGCTAAGACTGACGACGAGGCGCTCATACAAACAGCCGCATAAAACACACACACACATACCATCCATCTGTGGTTCTGTGTAAGGGAACACCGACAACATATTTTTCTGTAGCATTTTTTATTTATCGAAGCACAGTTCGTATACTAGATTAAAAGTGGGATATTAAAGTTTGGGTACTGCGTAGTTCACTGTGTGTGAATGCAAATAAATCGTCAATTTTTTCCGACACAGAAATCACATTTCCATTTTATTGTCAGTGTTTTCAATTGATTTGTAGTGAACGCAAAGGATTTTCACAATTTAACGAATAATCAATAGTTAATTGGTCGTTTTTTTCTGTTCCACAATTGTTATTCCACACTTCTCTTTCCATCCCCTCATCTGTGTCTACTGTAGTGTGTATATGTTTGAAAAAAGTTGATTCCACCAAACAAAAACCATTATTCGAATCGATTTCGACCGATAAATTCGCAATGAGTAAAACTGAAACGGAATGGCGAAATTTTGATTTGACAACGGACGAACTGGATCGTTTTACCAAGGCATTTAAATCGGAGAAATTTCGCAGTCTTTTCGTTGAATATTGTAAAGAAATTAATGATCCAGAGAATCGTCGCATTTACGAAGCTGAATTGAAACAATTGGAAGCCGAACGTGGCATTGATATAAAGTTTATTAATCCAGAACCAGGATTTGTTGTCAAATCGATTGCGAATGGTAATCAAAAGATATTCATTAATGTGGCAAAGAGTGATGCGATCGAAAAGCCCACCAGTCAATGTGGTTTCGATGCGAAAACGGGGGAAAAGGGGCTGAACTGGAGCTTACCGTATGTGCAATCGAAACCGAAACATGATTTTGATAAAAATAAGGTGATTTGTGCCGTATTCGATGTCATCTTCCATTCGGACACATTGCATTTGGCACAAAAGAATCCAGCATTCAAGAAATTGGTCATCGAAACGGCATATGATGCGGTGCGTTCAGCGTTCGATTTAACACTTGATAGTATTACGAATTTGAAATTCCCAAAATTGGCCTACAAAGGACAACCGACGCCCGTTGTCATTCGTAAAAAATGCACCGAACAATCGATTAACGCTTATGGAAATGCATTTGGTGGTGGTGTTGGTAAGCAGCAGAATGGTGAACACCGCAACGGTGACGATGAAGTGCCGAAACGCAAAGAAGCCAAACCAATGGCTAACAATGCCGCTATCGATGAATATGAAACACCCAAGTATGAACTAATCCATCGGCGGCACATTGAAATGCACGAATTCACCGATGAATTGGATGCGAAGTTGAATATCACGGTGCCCAAGGAGCTAGTAATCAAAATTCAATTGCCCTTATTGAATTCATCCAAAGATGTGGTTCTGGATGTTAACACAAAATCGATTCATATGCATTGTGATACACCAGCCAAGTACAAACTCAATGTTAGCCTGCCGCACGAGGTGGACAAGGAAATGGGAACGGCACAGTTTGACAATCAAACGAAAATATTAGCAATCACACTGCCAGTATTGAGCCGTAAGCAGATGGGCATTTTTGATTTGTGCCGCGAGGATAGCGGCGTTGAAAGCGATCATCACAGTCCCAAAGAGGATAGTTCATTGGGCTTGGACGACGATGTTTTCACCGATGATTGCGATCATTATGTAAGTTTCATTCGAACGTTTTCGGCTCAACATTTTTTCATTCCAGTTTCATTTCATAATAATTCAATCGAATTTCTTTTTCTTTTTCTTTCATGCATTTTCTTCCCGCCACAGTCAAATCAGATGTCAACTGAGATTGAAGAAGTGGGCTCGGTACAACAAACAAATGAAAAAGATTCGTTTTTGGAATCGTCAATTAATTATACGCTACCCCATTTCACTTATAACCGTTTTGAAAATGTGGTCGCATTTACATTACACGTAAAAAATGTCGAATCAACGTCAATCGTTGCTATTGATACGAGTAACAGCTATCGACTAAAGTTCTCAACCGTTGGATCTGGGTATTTCAATAATTATTATGCGTTTTATTTTGCCATGCCCACGGGAACGGCCACCATTTCGGAATCTCCACGTGTCGAGACATGGGACAATAATGTTGTCATTCAAATTGAACTGGATTCAATCGATCGTTTTGCATCGTACGATGTTGGACTGAGCGCAAACGATTGCAAGCATTTTGCGTGCAACGAAAAAAAGTCATACAATGACGTTAGTGAAAAGGTCGCGGAAGACAAAACCAATTATGTGGAAGTGGGAACGGCCATGTCAAATGAAGAGCTACAAATTGAAATTACAAATAAGAATTTCAAAGCTAAAAGTACAACTGATGATGATGAGGATGAAATTAAGGCGCCAGCAGTTCAACGTCCTAAGACGAAAAAATCGAAACGAGACAATAGTAAAAAGGCTCGTTCATACTCCGAATCACATTGCGATGAATTAAAGCAAACCGAAGAGGCGAAACAGGTGAATGGTGGCGAAAATCATGCAAATGATAAAAAACCATGTCCACAGCATGCCATCAAATCGCGTACACAATCCGAATCGAGCAACGATGAACATCATATGGATTTGTTTCCGTTGAAGGGCATTTTAAAGCGTCACAGTTCATATGATCGTACCACAACGCCGGAATGTTCGCTCGACGAACACGGCTGTGCCGGTTCCATTGACCTTGGCATTGGCTCATTCAAGAGCATACCGGAGGAAAAGGATGCCGAACACTCCGAAAGCGTTAAAAAGACTGTCCGTTTCGACAAGCAACTTTGCCGAAAACTGTTATTCAAGTAGGTTCACTACTCACATGTTTGAAGTATTGAGATTGATTTTCATTCTAATCGTGAATCGGCTTGGCATTTTTCGTCTATCACTATCTTTTTACATTTCTTTCGAACTTTTTTTTTTGATCTTCTTTGTCGTCTTTTTTGCGAACGTTTTTTTTTTTCATTTTCGATAATTTTTTGCGACCAGTATGAGCCGATCCATTTGTTGTCGATGCATCACTTTTCATGGGCGATTGCATCATCTTTTTTTTTGTATTACCTACGTTTTACGGTATAGCTTTTGAAAACTGATAGTCCCTATAGAAAAAATTGATGATGTTACCGTATTTAGAGCTTGAAAGTTAATAACAGCGTTATTTGCACCGTTTTTTTTCCTTTTGCTAATCGATTTCCCATTTGTTACAACCCACAGAATGAATTCAACCATTATTGGTCAGCGAAAGCCGAAGGAAAACAAACGCAAGAAGAAGAAGCGTAATCAAGAGCGCCGCTATAGCGAAGGTGAAGCTTCGGATTATGAAAATAATTTGCAGCCATCGGGAGCATGCTGTCAGAAACCCACCGCATCTGTCGACGTCAATAAAAATAACAAAGACACCGAACACAAAACCAATTTGATATTCGATATAGAAATTTAGTTTCTATAGCTTTTTGAGTCCAACCGAGAATTCTTTTTGCAACAACAACCACATACTTGTTCTCTTTTTAATCATGTAACTTCCTACTTAAACAATTTACTAAACAAAAACAAAATCACATGTCCAGTGACAATTAGACACAACACAAGAACAAAGCTACAAATAAAACACAGCAAACAAAAACAAAAAACAACAACAAGCATAGAGGCCCACTTTTGGTTCATATAGCATATGTAATCAATGGCATCAGTAGAATATTATAAAAGCAGGAGCATTGAGCATGTTCAAAATATTAAACGAGAGTTTTTTTTCTTCATTTCAATCGATTTTTATAGAAAAAAAATGAGTTTTTTTCCTTCGGCACATTGGCCATGTGACAAAAGCGATTTGAGGTTATCACCATCAAATATTCGTGGCAGACAACACAAATAAATCATGGGCAATTCCGCTCTTCGGTTCTAGTCGAAAAAAAAGGCTACACATGAACATTATAAAGGATCGACAACATGATCGACATGCGCATTGAAAACGGTCGCGTATGCCTTGCGTCGCATTCTTATCACCGCAAAGGAAAATACAACGATTGTCCATGCGGCGAACGATGCGTGAGCACATGTCGCACACTATGAACGGATGTGAGTATTTTTTTTCAGCTTGCCATTGTCGTTATATTGAGTGAACGTCTCGATCAGAGTTATCGACGGTAGACTGCATTATCTGCAAAGTCATTGAATTGGTTTTTTCGTTTGAATTTTTTGACCGTTCAAATTGTGAACGTTTGATTAAAAATTTATAGATTTAATGGGCATTCAATCGAAATTGACATAGTTGGAAGCATGATTGACGATTGTTTGATGAAATACTTGTAATTTTCAAGTTGGAAAATCCCAGTGATTCGATTCCATCATCAGCAATTTTGACGCTACTTCTGAATTATCGAATAAACATAAGGATCGAAAACAAAGATTCAAAGTGAAAAAAGTGAAATTTTATTGAAAAAAAATTCTTGTCTTTGTTTGGGAATTAACAATGATTCATTATTGAGATTATTTTAAGGGGAAAAATGAATTCTATCGTTTAGTTCTTTTGTTGTTGGTAATTATTGTTTGGGTATTGTGGTGGAATTTGTTGGTAATAGTTGTGTGTAAGTTGCGTCTGGCCGCCTGGATAAATGAATCCGCCTGTAGAGGCAATGTGACCACTGACAAAGCCAGTGCTTTGCTGGTTATTTCCGTTTTCTTCAGGTCCGAAACGGTCGGCCCTGTAAAATAATTCAGAGTTGAGAATGAATCTGATTGCAAACACGTAATATTCACACAGAAATAAAATGTGGTAGGTTTGTGCTATCTATTGGTGACGAGTATAGTTATCACAGGTTTTAGAAAAGTTACCCCACGCACCAAAATATTACTATGCACAGCACACATGCATTTTTTGGTTGGAAAATTCTCGGAAAAGCGCTACTGTGGGAAATCGGGAAATCGGGGAAAGTTCAGATCAGTCTCAATCGATCGGGTGGAAAATTTCATGTGAGGTACCGACCCAAAGGGTGATTTTCAAGCGAAAAACCATCCATTTCTGAGATAAATGAAAAAAACTTGCCGATATTTCCGAATTTGTTTGAAGCACAAACCTACCACATTTTATTTCTCTGTGTTCGTTATCAACAGATTTATCTTACAAATTCGGGACTCCAACAGCTGGTCCACCGCTATGGTACGATGATGAAGACTGTTGGAATTGGGTAATTGGTTGTCCATTCGTACCAGTTGCAGTGCTACTGCTGCTGCTGCTAGACGATTGTGCCGAAAACGATTGCGATTGTCGTCTCAGGCGATGCAACGTCTGTTTGAATTTGAAATTTGGAAGAAATTTTTTTTTAAATAACAATACCTAGAAAGTCTAAAAATGGATAATGAAAAATAAAATGTTCAAAGACATTGAAAAAAGAACAAGAATGCCTCGAATATGCATAATACATTCTAAATTTGTTCATTTTTCTGCAAATAAAAACCATCAATATAGAAAACCGATACATTTCAAATTCAAGCATCACACTAAAGATAGAATTCAAGCATTTTGAAATTCAAAAGTGTCTACATTCAAACGGTTCTAAAATCATTTTAAAAACGATTGAACTGAACAAAAAGAAACAGAGCTTCAAAGAAGAAGAAAAAGAAAACGCTTCAATATTTGCGCAAATGGTGCTAGAACGTATAAAGGAAAATGCATTAAGAGTCGGCGATATATGTGTTCTGGTGAATAGAGCTTCTGTTGTTTGTTACGTTTTCATCATGTTTCGCATGTTCAGTCGAAACGACTGGTTATTCTGAATTCCAAAAGCATTTTAACTTGTCGTTTTCTTGTTTCAATTTTATCGATTCTTCTTTCGAGATCTTACTTACCCGGGGAACTTTTGCATATCCAAATTGACCTGGAAAAAAACCAGCAATTTGTTATTTTATTGTCATCACATTTTTTTTCTATAAAAAAGCTTTTTGGTTTGGTGTTTTATGTCTTTTAACTGTCAATCATTTCTAGTTTATTCGCATTTCTCCTTTTCAGTGACTTTCTTCTTCTTCTTTTTTTTGTGTGTCGATAGTTCCGTTTGAAATTCATAACCGTCAACTATTGGCCACCGATGCTATTGGTTTGAATGCAAAATGAGACCGCTTTTTCGGGTATTCCATGGAATATCATTTGGCAAGCATATTGAAACCAAATATTTCAACCGTTTTGCGATTGTATAATAAGCAATAGAAATAAAATGGAATATGCGATAATTGTTCGATAAAATTGCTCAGGCAATTCATTATTTTCGTTGAATTATCATCCATGTCATGAGCACAGTCATAATAATTGAATATGTACGCAGTGCTGTAGATTCGACATGTTATTTTTGTTTCTTCTTCTTCTTTTTCTCCGATACTTTTACTCAAAACAAACGTATCACATAAAGCTAGATACACAGTTCCTTGTGAAATGAAAAAATTTCTCCGGTGAAATTTTCACCAGTGATCTTTGTATCAAGTTTTTTTATATTCAAATTGCAAGTATAATGATTTTTGAT